AATTCCTTCTTCAACATCGGTGCACTTCCCGAAGGATGCCACAGGCTCGACTGGAGGTTGTCCTTGAGGAAGGCCTGAATATCCGCATCCGAAGTGATGTTCGCCGAGGGGCTCGTCGCCGTCGGACCCATGGTTTGAAGTGCAGGGGTGAGCAACAACTTTCTCCACGCCCTGACCATCTCGGTGAGGATGGCGAGATCGAGTGGGTTACGCATGGTGGCAAAGTCGACGACGGGATCGTCAAACGCACTCGTCGACTTGATGGTGATAGAACCACGAGATAAGGGTTTGAGGAGGACGAGGACCATACCAGCTCCGGTGCCACCGATGAATTCACCCATGGCGACCTTGCCTTGCTTGATGTACTTGGCCAGCACCTCACGCTGAGCCTTGAACCCGGCAATAATGGTGGAGTCGACTCCAGATGGGAAGTAGTTTTGAGGGTTCTGTTGGTTGAATTGGTTGACGATGTTGTTGGACAGAGAGGTGATTTCGTTTAAGGGCAAGAAGGCAGCCGCGTTACCTAGACTTGTCGTATAGACACCTAGACGCCACAATCACAACATTAATTCCTTTTCTCAAGAAGATATATCTCACTCACCTTCATGTCGTGATCGGTAGAGCTCAAGCTGCTCTGCCATCCATGTCGTGTTGGTATTGTTGGCCGGACTGGGATTGAGATCGTTGGCGACGGTTCCGTCGGTCTGGAAGAAAGGATGATCATGGAAGTTTGCTCCCACTCCGGGTAAGTCGGATATAACGTTGATTCCCAACGAGGTAAGTAGCTTCTTGGGACCAACGCCCGAAATTTGGAGGATTTGCGGAGTATGTGGAGCACCCGCCGCAAGAATCACCTCCTTCGCAGCCTTTACCGACTGAACTGGTTGATCACGTCCGGATGCAAACTGAAGTCAAGGAGGAGTACAAGTCAGAACGATTGTTGGAAAGGAGGCAAAAAGGGGGAACGAGGAGGAGAGGAAGAGGAAGGCTCAAGGGATACTTGGGATACTAACCGAGACGCCAATTGCGGTGACTCCATTAAAGTTGATTTTGGTGACAGTGGTGCTGGCAAGTAGATGCAGGTTCGTTCGTGACTTGACAGGGTCGTAGTGAGCTGTCCGGGCGTAGGACCGGGTTCGGGTGACAGGATCGAGTGTGTTAGGGGCCCAGTAACCACCAGTGGCGTCGCCAGAGGCATAATCATATGGCACATGAGATCCAAATTGTTGAATCGCCTTCAAGAAAAGATCTAGAAGATGTTTCAGCGAGGAAAAGGGATACAGAACAAGCGATGGATACTCACTGACAGCTGGATACAAGAATGGAGGGTAGCTCGATTGGACTGGTCCGCTTGTTCCGTGGTATCGCATGTCGTACGTAATGTTAAATTGTGCTGCCAGTTGTGCAGAGGGCGGCGTGAATGTTTCGCTCTGAGTAGAGTAACAGGTACCATCACGGAGAACGTTAGTATACAGAGTCGCTGCGCAGCCAGGGTAACGATCTCACCTTGATGAAATATGGTAATAGATCACTCCAGCCCCAGCCTGTATTTCCTAGGTCTCTCCAGATGTCATAGTCGGCTTGGGCACCTCGCGGCATGAACATGCCGTTAACCGCGCTGCCACCTCCGACGATCTTTCCAGCCTGGAGGACTGTCGAGCGATTGTTGAGCCCAACCTGAGGGACACTAGGGAGGTTGTACCAGTACTTGGCGGGAGCTCCTAACGCATATCTTGGGATGAGAATTTCATCTTCGCCTGCGTCCAAATCGCCTGCCTCGATGACGAGTACTTTGACTAGATAAATATGAAATGACTGTCAGCTCCTCGGTGTAAACAAAGTACGATAGCGAGATTCGCGGGACTGTGCTCGAAGGCACGTGTATATAGTGGAGTAACGCGGAGAAAGTGTAAAGGGAGCAATACCCACTCGATGCGTTCTCTGTCAAGCGGTCGGCAACGGTGAGGCCAGTAGTGCCACCACCAACGATCACATAGTCGTAGCTAGCGAGAAGCTCGGCGTCTCGTCCAACGAGCTGAGAGCGAGCGACGAGATCTGCAAAATGGCCAGATGTGGCGGCGACCAAGGATGGTCCCAATGCGACCAGGGTGGTCGAAACGACGAGAGGCGTCCACATTTCGTGTCGAGAGGTGAGATGAGAGGGGACGAGGAGGAGAGTAAGAGATGAAGAAGGTGAAGAACAACCAATGTTTGGCAATCACATGTAGGATCGAAATGGCCACTGATATACGATGGCGTCGAGGAGGAATCGCCAGACGAGCGAAGTTCCTGTTTCGCACCCTCCTGAATGGATCAATGTCGGAGTCTTTTGCTCCTCGACCATCTCATTACGTATTACAATTAGCCTCAAATTCAAAAACTCAAAAAAGTTCTTCTCCATCCTCTTTCTCGCCCTGGCCCTGTTAGCGATTGTCACTCCCTTATCAGCACTTGGCTATTGTCAATGCACCCGGTTAGTGACCGGTGGCCAGCCAACGACCCTTCATTGAGGGGTTATAATTTATTGCATGATAATATGAAATAATTATGTATAGTGGATGAGCTCTGTCTCGGTCGTTCCTGAACACAAGGCGTGTGCAACGTTCATCCATGTTCATGGGCTCCGCAATGGAGAGAATGTCGAATGGATGCGAAACGGGTCAGTGGTCGATTGGTCCCTGATGGACATTATTCTGTCTTCGAGGCTGTGGCCGATTTCACGGACATAACTTGTTGTAGAGATCCCTGGTTGGTGTTCCGAATGACTGTATACTCGCGTTCCTGCTTCCTCTTCCCTAAAACCCCGGGTCATTCGATGGTGAGAACAAGTAAGCGCACTCGTCGGACGTGACAGCTCACCCAGGGCGATCGAGTCGAGCAGCCATTCTGGCTTGACGACATGTTTCTTGTTTCTCGCGTTCGTGGTCAAAAACTTTTGGATCTTGGACCCACATAGAGATTGAGAGGTCAAAATGTGGGTAGCTTGGGTCTCGGTGTGACTGGAATCGGGTCAGCCAATGAAAACACACAGCGGCGAGTGACCTGTCGTACGCTACAACTCCGCCATACTCCGACACTAGTCGTTTTAACTCTATGTCCGTAGTCCCAGCACAATATCCACCTGGCAATAGATTTATCAAATCACAGTTATTTATGATCCGTTACACTCGGGGGTCACTTACTGTTGCAGTAGATGCGACATCCCCAGAACAATGAAGAATTCTGCATCTCTCGTCGAGCCTCAAGCTGTTCATTCCTTTTAATGATCAAAGAGCTGCCAACTTGCCTTCCATCACCCCTCTGGTGGCCCGTAGCACAGGACCAGACGTGATCTTTGAGAATGGCCGAACAATGGAATGAGCACACAATGTCTCTTGTCCATACAAAGGCCATACCTGGTTGTCTCAATGCATCTGGGTTGGTAAGAGGATTTCCTGGGTGGGATAGTGTGGTCAGGGCGTGCTTCTTGGCTGCCTGAATCGAGTTGGCTGGACGAGGGGCGTTCTCTCCAGTCTCGCCTGACCGAGACTTTCTACAAACACGACTTTAGCATGTACTCGTATGGGATAGAGGATGAAATACCGCTTCTCCTGGCCCATTTCGAACCATTCTTGACGCGCCAACTGGGCGGATGCTACGCGTTCGCTATACGGATGGAACCGGTTCTTGTGATCCTCCTTTTCTCGAGGGACACGTCCATTAGGCTTGCTTTTTGTAATTTTTAGAAATTTCTCCATGATATTTTGTGAATGAGAGAGTTGCCACAAGTCGAGAATGTTACGCGAGAGAGCGGCGTTACGCCTTCCCGTTCAGTCTCG